ATGAAATACTTCATGAACTGAATTATACTGCCAGTTCGCAGGTCTGGTGGCTTTAATAATAAAAACAAAACGTTCACGTGGAGAATATTCAATGAAACATTCCAATGAATCATTTCTGAAGCAAAGGAAAAACCGAAACATTTCATTTGTCGTACGAAAGTGTGTCTGCTTCACATTAATATTATAGATACAAAAGACGGAAAAGTGCGAGAGCACACGCACAGGCACACACACAAATATATATGTGGTCTTTTGTGCAATTCTCGAGGCGGTCTCAAATGTCATGCCCGTGATAGGCATGCAGATAATTAGTTCGTGGTCGTCGTAACCTCATACGTCAAACTCGACGGAAGAATCCATCATATATATATATATATATATATATATATATATATAAAGAAATACACTCTTGAGGTGTGCTATATTTATGGGATAAAGTGCTCAATATCAGAGATATATGTATGTGTGTATATATATATATATATATATATATATATATATATATATATATATATATAATTATTTATTTAAAAATATGATTCCAAAACGCTACATAAGAGTTCTCATGTTTCAAAACAAGAGCCGAAAACTTCAATATAATTATTTGAATTAAATGGAATTAAAGTAAGCTCTGTTCCATCTTCAAGCGAATTTTTTTGGGAATAACTCATTTCTGAAATTTACGTGTTTTAATAGCATATTCATTATTGAAATCAATTTTATATATATTTTTCACACACAAACAAACACACACACATACGTATATATATATATATATATATATATATATATATATATATATATATATATATATATATATATATATATATATATATATATGTATTCTGACGGAAAATAAAATTGCAGCTTATGTGTTTTTTAATCATTTCTCTACAAGCAAGGCAATAAACCCACTAAGACATTAGTGAACGTCCTAATACTGAAGTTAGATTTTGTTTTTCACTCTTGTTTCTTTAATCATAATTACTTAACGATTTTTTTTATCTGTTATCTCTTTTCCATACATTCAACATACACGGTACGAATCTTTTGACGCTTACCTAATTTCAGGATTATTTTTAATAAGCAGCTTCATATAATCACGCTTGAATTCAATGCTTTTATTGAAGTATTGTTGTTGAGGGCAATTCTTATAAAAATTAATGTCAGAAATAAATGATACACTTTCGGAAAGACTCGAATTACACACTTTTTTTTTTTTTATCGGAAAACATGTCAACTTGGCATCTACCTTACCTATTTCCGGCTCCATTTATTCAAATGTATACATACCCCTTAGGCCAAAAGTTTAGGGTCATCCTCTGGATCTAATAATTAGTAAGTTTAATCCCTTCTTTGGTTTAATTAACATTAAGCTAGGTTGCCGAAATTAATTAACCCATTAGTGCATGAAATCTATTTTTTTTTAGAAAGAGTGTTACCTAAAATTTTTAATCCGCCAGCCGTAAAATTTAAATTAGCCAGATAGATTAGGAAATAAAAAGAGTTAAAATTAGATAAGTTCATCTATCGTCTGGTTTACACTCCTCTCCTGTTTTTTTGAGAAGTAGAGGTTTGTCTTTTTTTTCTGTTTAGGATTGGGTTTCCGACTGTATCTGAAAACTTTAAATTCTCTTTCAGTCCCAATATCTCCTTGCGTTTTAGTGGCGTTGTCGCCTTGCTTACGGCGAATTGATTTAATAATAAAAAAAAAACTCCTTCAGGAAGAAAAAGTCTCTCTGACCCAAAGTAAGTTCGCAAATTAGTTTTGAAAAAGGCACAAAACTTTAATTTTTTTTTTTCGAAATCTAGAGGTTCGTCTAAACCTTTTGGCCTATAGTGTATAAATATTCATTAACTTCCTTAACTGCCTGATACGCTACCATCATTTCTTTTTGTAATATACACTCGTATTAGTTTAAGTTATGTTGGTTAATTTTACAACATATCATCCAGTTTCCAACCATACAGATGAAGCTGCACAATATGGCCTGAAGATCGCTTGAGGCGAGAAAGTGATATTCACTTCTTAAGTGTTTGCTCCTATGTTAATATTATCTATATCCACAAACACTATCTTCAGTACTGTTCCCTCTTCTATAAGTATAGTAAATCCTCTCTCACGCTCTCTCTCTATAAATATATATATATATATATATATATATATATATATATATATAGAGAGAGAGAGAGAGAGAGAGAGAGATGTGTGTGTGTGTGTGTGCGATTTGGGATTAAATATAAATTAAAATATGGAGTACAATCCGAGCGAATGATAGGATAAAGAACAAATAAGAAGCGCATGGCCCAGTGGATAAAAGCGTTGGTTGAATGTAGTGACTTCCCCAAATAGCTGAGGTGAACAAAAAACTTGGGGAATTAAGTTAAAGGGAGATAACTGGCAACAAAGATGAGGACAACTGTCCGAACAATGTAAATAATGTAAATATGCGCAAATACACTTAATGAAATTGTGAATCCACCTCTTCTCCTCCAAGTTATGGGTTAATTTGGAAGACTAAACCATTATTACAATCTAAAAATATTTTCTGGTAATAACCTCCAAAGGGTTGATAACCCATAGAAAACGAATCAATCTACGCATTAGATAAAGCCTAAATAGAAATAGATTCATTTTTAAAAAATTTAAAACCTAAATTTTATATCATTGTAGTTTTCGCGTCGCGAACCACTGGAACGAGAGCGATAAGAAAGTATTTACTTTACACAGACAAGAAAAAATGGTTGCATGTTGTCTCTACTAAAAATAATATCTCGAATGTCTAAAAGCTTCTCATTTTGAAATTCTCGTTGATAACGTCTATAGTAATCGAACGATGGAAAAGGTAAACGAGCTTAACAGTAACTTGATCATTATTTTCTTTTCTTTTTTCACAGAAAAAAAAAGTAAAATAAAAAGCGGGTGAGAAGGAAAGGTTATAAACATTCCATGTTGGAAATTCCGGAAATTATCACCGAATATCCGGTCGCGTTCATATCGCGGATAAAATGTCAGCTGAGGTTGAAACAAACTTTTAAAATCTGTCTTTCAGAATAAATTGCAAGACATTAAACTGAAGACATTTTACTACGCCTTTTACATGTGTTAAAACATGATAAATATTCCCAACTCGTTTCAAATTCTAACATACATAAACAAAACTAAAATCTAACTTATAGGTTTACATGAATGCGAGCTAAAATCTATAGAGGGTACCTGAAAATGAATGAACACTAAAGTAGTTGTTTGTAGTTCATGTTATAACTAACAAGCATGGGTGAGAAGGAAAACTAATCTGGAATTAATGAAAATATATATATATATATATGATAAAATATAGTTTCTCTCTATAGTTTCTATATATATATATATATATATATATATATATATATATATATATATAGTTTTAAGGTATGCTGTATTTATAGGTAAAAGTGCTCAATATCAAAGATAGAGTATATGTAAATATAAAAATTATAATGAAGTAAAAAAGAAAGGTATATATATATATATATATATATATATATATATATATATATATATATATATATATACCTTTCTGTTTACTTCATTATACTTATATATATATATATATATATATATATATATATATATATATATATATATATATAGTGATTTTCCAAGCATAGCTTAGATGTGGCACAAGGCCGAAAGTAGGGGCATCCAGTGAGGATCGAACTGAGTAGTTCCTCTTTATTAGCCGATAACCGTTAAGCTATGTGCACTTCTACAATTATATATATATATATATATATATATAGGGATATTAAAAAATTTTAAATAAAACTGTTAATTCATATATAACACATAAATTAATCTCAAACTAAAATAATTTAAATATTCATTGCATAAAAGATTCACGAACAACATCATTTACACACTTTCGTTTACGAGACATTAAATTAGGTCACTTACAATCTTTCATAATTTACCCAGATTTTTCAGTTAATCTGATGAGCGTCTATTGAATTTAGAAATTTTGACAAACTAACAACATTTTTATTTTTTTTATAAATAATTATTGGAAAATAAAATCCTTGTATTTGCCTTAATAATATCCATCATTAGCTGAAATGCGTCAGTTAGGATAAGTTTTTCTTTTGTCTTTATTCATATTGTCTTTTTACAGATATATATTTTAGTTATATCTGAGAGAATAATGGCACAAGGCCCATTTTGAAATAGGAATTGCACATGTTCAGTTCTCTCGGCATCTCCCTTTTGAGAGCCGCATTGTCTGGGGCTACGGACCCTCTGGATCTGAGCTTAATAATTAGCATTTCATAAGAAATGCTGTTTGTTATTTGTCTGTACCACCCAAGCAAACGGAATAGGATATAACGCCGAATTTAAAATGGCCGTCCCACGAGTAAACGAGACGAAGGATAAAAATTCCTCAACGTCCCAGGCATATCCTGTTGGGGAGGCCTCAACGCCAGGCATTAATTCTCTCTCTTACACTTGGGAGCAGTACGACCTGAGGAGGGAGGCGAACTCGCCTAGAGCTGAAATTTCGGATTAAGTACCGTATATACTCGAATATAGTGCGAGTTTTTATGAGAATTTTTTATGCAAAATATAGGGTGGGGTGGCGTACTAAACACAGGTAATTTTTTTTATCGAAGTCATGTATTTTCGGTGACCGGTTGCGCTATACAGAAGTAATTTTTTTTTCTGAAGGGGTTAAAATTCATGCAAAAAGATTCAGGGGTCGCACTATACCTGAAGGAGTAAAGAAAACAAGAACAAAACAGAGTTTAAGTGGCTCCCTACCGGCGTTCGAGCATGCTGATTTTCAAGGTAATCAGCTTCTCTTCAGTTGGATGAAAAGCACGATACAACACCTTTGGTCTTGATGAGTTCATCATAATTCAAATCTAATTATTCTCATTTATGAAATAGCAAAATGTTTAAGTGGAACTGGAAACAAATGTTTATCAAAGGAATATTCCTAAAGAGAAAAATGAATGGTACTTACGCTTTATCACTGAGAGAAAGGTACACAGTACCAGTAATTTTGTCACCGAATCCATTTTCTCTGACCGAATACTTCTCACCTGAAAAAAGAAAAAAAAAAAAACTTGTAAGACATCATGTCACAGACAACGCTATTCTATTAACAAAACGGTTTGATCGATGTATTCGTTTTTTACGGCTTACCAACCTTTTATAGAAAGTCAGAAAAATGTTGAAGATGTTTAGTTTAATTTAAATGGCAGAATAACCTTTTCGAATCCCAAAATGGCAGCGCTCACGAGAAATCGCCGTCAACGTATTTATAGTCATTACTTTCAGTAAATGGCAATTTACTATTTTCCCTAAACGTGCCAGCATAGCCAGGCGACAATGCTATGACAATGCAGCAGTGAAAATGTCTAATTGATCGGAAATACATTGCTCTCAACATTTATCTCACTTCGCTGAATGCTTGATAACTCTTAAAAATAAATAAATAAATAAATAAATAAATAAATAAATAATAATAATAATAACGCCGGAATCTAAATATTTTGTGTTATGTTATTTTATTTATTTAGATAATAATGGCTTTAGTGATGCAAGATTTACTAATTAACCCATGGTTTTGGAAGAAGAGTTGAATTCATACTTTTCCCAAGAGTATTTCTGCGTAATTGAATATAACGAACATAACGGGAAATGGAACGCGTCTCCCCAATTAATAATTTCGAGCCATTTTCCATTGCACCATCCGCACATCCAAGCTTATAGCACCAGGTATTCCCAAGTGGCTGTTACTTTACGGGACTCTCAAGTATCGAATTAATCAGTTCTGCCATTTTGCTGTATATCCAAACCAGTTGTACTCAAAGGAATGTGGATTACACGTTAAAGTTTTTTTGTTTTTTTTGTTCTCAAAATTTTCTTCATTTCATCATCCAAAATAGACAAGATATGTTCAACAGGATTTTTTTTTAGCTGTCTAACATCGAGCTCTACATGAGAGTAACAATTGGTAGGAGTTTTATCTGTAAAGCGAATATGTATTTTTGTAAAGTGATTTTTCCCTGAACACTTCGGGTGCTTTCAAAGAAAGTGCTCTAAATTACTTGTTACACCTAAACTGAAAATCTGCCACTTTTGAGAAGAGAGCGGCAAGTGGTTGAAACACAATTTGGGCCAGATATCCGCCGAAATCGTTTCTTGTTAAGCAAATAACTATTTTGAAAAGATCTCAGTGTGCTAAAACTCCTAATAATCTCTCCAGTTATCAACAGCTTTTTTTTTATCTGAATGTTGACTGGTTAAAGAAGCGAGCTTCTTTTGACTGTTTCGTAATAATTGTTTGACGACGAAGCTGTACAGGTGTTTTTATGAAGCTAATTTTCAAACAGTGTCTAATGTATACCGCTTTTGCAATGGTGATGTTTCTCAGCTCGGCGAACAAAGACAACATTCTGATAAAGCAGGCGGACAAGAATGAGAAGTTGTGATTTTGTTTTCATTATTAACGAAATATGCACTCCCGTGATTCATAACTTAAAATAGAATATCAAATTTTGAAGCTCATATCACTGCTGGTTCGATCAAACATTACATTTCTTTTCGAAATCTGACAATTTCCATGCATGTGGAGCATGAGGCATTGTGAAGTGATCATGTGCTATTATTATTTAGTGACTTTTATGTTTTAATATTAAATTATTATTTATTCTATGTATGCATATAAAATGTACTTGAAAACAAAAAAAAAAAAAGCAAGCAATAGACTTTATGGCTGGACATTTCAATATGTACGTTTCTAATCTAATGATAAAAACATCATTTATATTACACAGCAAATATTTATTTTTCAACATAATCTCCTTTTTCAGTTTCTGGTCACAGGTCTTTTCATCCACACTGATAAGTATAGGCTTGTGAATGTTATTTGATTTAGTTAACCAAAATCAAAAATATTTTCCGCCTCTCTCTCTCTCTCTCTCTCTCTCTATATATATATATATATATATATATATATATATATATATGATATATATATATATATATATATATATATATATATATATATTTGGTTAAAAAAGCCAAAGAAGGGTTGATATATTTTTCGATATTTCAGACCGTATTTTTTACATATTTAAATACAACTTTTTCAATGTTTGAATGCTTATATATATATATATATATATATATATATATATAATAGACGACACAAATACACACGACACGTGAAAACGCGAAAACCCATGCACTATTTGAAAATGAAGAGATCGACAACTTAGCACAAAAAGATAATACAGTTAGCAGACAAAAGCTTCGAAAAATCTTAAGAGATATACATCTCTTTAAAAAGATATATCGAGACATGTAACTTATGTTCGTTGGAGAAGCTTAGTATATTAAAGCACTTAAATAATCCTAACTTGCTGAACACGAGATCCTAATTAATGTCTACATGCATCCACAAAGTACTTGCTCAAAAACATTGACCCCGATTAAAAGTGATTGCAAAATGGATTTTACGAATATTAATATAATACGCAACAACTTTTAATATTCTCAGATCTCATTATCTAGAACTTTCCTTATATACCTATACACAATTTTCGTATGAAACAAAGAAAATAGTACTGAAATTTTATGCAATACCAATTCTAATCTATGGCACAGAAAGCCGGGCAATTTTTTCACAGATGAAAGAAGAGACTTGAGTCAACAGAAATGTGGTTCTACAGAAGGATACTGTGAATACCATGGTCTGAACGCATGAGCAACGATGAACTTGAGGCACACAGTGAATATCAAACTCCTGACACTTGCGAACTGGTTAGTAAACAGCACCACGTGACTCATCAACTAGTTTCGGCAGGAATCATTTTTAAATAGGTGCATTTGTTTTTCATGCTAATGTTTTTTTCCACTAATTATACTTCATTCAATTTTATGTTGTATTAAGAAATTATCAAACGAGAAATATATTATTATATATTATTTTAAGATAATTCCTTTATAGGAATATCATTTTTTGATATCATTAAGATAAGATTTTTGATATCATTACAGGTGGCGTTACAGTTACCCGCTCGAGAAATGGAATCATTGAACAGAGTTCAAATTCTGACCGAGTCTGTTGCGTTCACTTATCGCTACTACCCTTGGAAATGATAAGAATCCATCTCTTCTCCACTTATTATGAGTTAAATTATAAGACAGACTTAGGTCTCTCGCCATAGGCTGCAGCCAGTCTAGGAGAATAACTGAATTCATAACCATTGAGAAGGCAACGGGAACCCACTCTATTATCTTTTTCAAGAAGTCCTGGCAATTTGCAGTTAATAAAGTAAAAGAATTTGTGGAATAATTATATCTCCTTCTGAAGGTCACGGCATTAAAAACCTGTAACCATTAAGAGTCGTAGAGGCACCATCAAGACAGCCTGAGGGAGCCCATCGCTCTTTAGGTTTTCCTTCTCTTAGACTGATTCCTGCCAAAGGCTTAGAGAACCCAGTCTGCGCTGCTAAGAAATAAAGAGGTGGATTTATATCTTTCCTGGGGTATTTGAGAAAAAGTGAACGCAATGGCATCGGCTGGAATTTGAACTCGGCACGCCAATCCAAATGTCTGTACCGATAACCGTCTACGTTATACACACATAAAAGCAATAAATAGATCGTTGTAAAAAAATATCCCATTTTTGTTAAGAAATCACATTATTTTTCGATGTGATTTGAAGTGAAATGCCTGAACTGAAATGAAACAAATAAACTTCTGATTTTTAATCTGTTGCTCTACCAAAGAAACACACTTTTTCCATCGCTGCATATGGAAATTTCAAATAGTAGCTGCTAAACAAAAGAGTCTGTGGTTGTGATTACTCATTTCATTTGACCGAAAGGCGTCAGCAATATGTCAATTACCGTTTGGAAAGCCGTGAGCTTATATTCTGCAAATGGGGATAGACATATTCTGTATGTTATCTGTGGGGTTTTTTTTTGTTTTGTTTTATGATTAAAAACAAGTTGTTTTGTCTGCAAAAATAAACTTGGTATTTTTTCTCGTCTGTCAAGGAGAAACCAAAAAACAGATCCGTTGCAGAAAGATTAAGAAAAAAAAGCATAAATAAATAAATAAGCAAATTAATGTATATATTTAATAACCTTTTGCCATGTTTAAATAAATTCTCGAAATGCTTCTTGAAAAACTGTTAAAGTTCTAAAGCTACCATTTGGCGTTGTTACAAACCTTCGTGTTAATTCTGATATGTCCCGAAGAGCAAGCCTTTTACAAGCATTGTGTCTACCTGAAGAAGAGAAAGACATTCTTCTTTGGTTTGAAAACAAAAATAGTTGAATTTCTTAAATGATCATCACTTATTAGCAAATTGAGAGAATGTAAGTTAATTATAGTTATGTGATAAGAATACAAATATATATATATATATATATATATATATATATATATATATATATATATATATATATATATATATATATATATATATATATTCATACATGTTTCATTAAATAATGTAGACAAGTGTTGTCTATTTATTTTATGTAAATTCTTTTCATAACATCTGATAAGCTTAATGACATTATCATTAAACGAAGAAAGAAAATCACAATATAGATCCATATTTTTTAATCCAATCTAAGCTTTCAGATTACATAAGCCATTATCAAAGATGTCAATTACTGTACAACATATTAAGCAATATACGGACAAGACATTGATGATAGTCTGTGATTGTTTACATAGATGATTTCCTAGCAACGATAAACACGTGCATATAAGACGCTGGAAGCGAAAATCGCACCACAGCTCATGGCGTCACACATGACCACGCGAGAGTGAATTCTTTTTCTTTCTTCATTAAATGATAGTGTTATTAAGCTTATCAGAGGTTAGGAAAAGAATTTACATAAAATAAATAGACAACACTTGTCTATATTATTTAATGAAACATATATGAATGAAAAAATGCTGCCTAAATACACACACAATATATATATATATATATATATATATATATGCAGAAAAATATAATACTTCTAAAATCTGCATGTCTCGTTAAAGCTTTATATTTCAGATTCGCAAGGTCGATTTGTGAAGGATGTGATTTCTGGACCTGGAGAGATGATCTCAGTACAGGACAACAGCAAGTTGACAAAACACACCAAGGTCCTAGTCTTTGGCGCTGCCTTCTGGCAGGAATAGAAACTCAGCACTTTCCATATGCACTGCCTGCAACGCATTCTGAACATATCTTGAAATGACAAAGTCCCCAATAAAACCACCCTTAAGAGGACTGGAATTAACCAGTATGCGCGTCCTTGTAAAGAAAAGAAACCTGTGCTGGCTCGGACACGTCCTGCAAACGAGTGACTGTCAAATACCCAGGTATCTCCTGTACGGAGCACAATCTCAAGGAAAGTGCATCGTAGACAGACCCCAACTACGCCATAAAGATCTATAAAAGAGACCCGAGGAGCCTAGACATAAATCCGGGCATGTGGGATGCTGTAGATTTCGAACAATCTTCCTGAAGGCAGGTAGTGTTGAAAGGCTTCCTCGAGTTCAAAATGACTTTTGTCCAAAAGTCAGAGATGAAAAAGTAAATAAGGAAATCCCGATGTCTGACATACAAACCAAACTTCGCCTACCCAAAATGTGGGAAAGTCTGTCATTCTAGAATAGGCCTATCAGGTCCTAACGTACGCCGCGCCTCAAACATCAGCTTGAGAACAACTGCATAGTATCATGAAACTGACATATATATATATATATATATATATATATATATATATATATATATATATATATATATATATATATTGATGCATGTTTCATTAAATAATATAGACAAGTGTTGACTATTTATTTTATGTAAATTCTTTTCATAACGTCTGATAAGCTTAATAACATTATCATTAAACGAAGAAAGAAAATCACAATATTGATACATATTTTTTTAATCCAATCTAAGCTTTTGGCTTACATGAGCCATTATCAAAGATGACAATTACAGTATAATATATTAAGCAATACACGGACAAATCAGTGATGATAGTCTGTTTCTGTTTACATTGATGATTTCCAAGCAACGATAAACACGTGCATATAAGACGCTGGAAGCGAAAATCGCACCGCAGCTCATGACGTCGAGAGTGAATTCGAGAAGTATTAAGTATGGGAAGCCGTTGGTATAAACCAATGGCTTCTGTTACCAATTATAGACAATTAAGAATATTTGTGGAGATTTCATAGTTTATTTTCTTCAGGTTAGGTTTCAACTGTTTGATGTATAATGCTTCAAGAATTTTTAGTTTTGTTTATTGTTTTCATGTTTAAGTATAATTGTGTTTTCAACAAGGATTTTACGGAATTGTGTATATCTGTTGCTAAGAAAGTTGGTTCACTGCATCGTGCCAGACAATTTTTCTTGTCAGAATCCAT